TCAACTTGTACCTGCATAGTTTTCTCTCTTGGGAAGCATAATGAGTGGCATTATGAAATCTGGGAAACCAGGTACATGGTAGTAAGGAGCCAGGGCTTGGGACCATTGAGTGCCTCTGTGGCATTCCCCCGGCCACCTTGTATCCTAGAGCAGAGCACCCTGGCCTCAGAGGATTGCCAGGGCCTTGAGACAGGAGAGTCTGATTCCTCCACTCCCCATTCATCAAATATTTTTTGAGCACCAATGCTGTGCCAGGGTACATCCTGGGTACTGGGAATAGAGTACATAGTGAGGCAGACACGGTCCCCTGCTGCCTGGGGTCAGAATCAAGATGGAGTCAAAGTGACAGAATAGGTACAGGTAGACAAGTAAACCCAACAGTGACTGAGAGTAACCCTTGTTGTGTTTAACACAATAGCCAACTGGCTGAGTGAAGGCACGATTCCCTACTAGAGCCTGGGTGTGCTGGAATGCAGATTTGGGTGGCATTTCGGAGCCAGTTATAGGAAGAGGCAGAGGAGAAACTCTGTGTCTACCGAGAAGAAAGGCTCTAGGATTTGAACAGTCCTTAACACGACAGGAAGAGGAAGGTTCTAAGAAATATGGTCAAATCCTTCTTACTAAGATAAGCATGGTTGTCAGTGCCATTAATGTGTGTGAATCCACATATCATTGGCTCTGCCAAGTCTGCACTTGAGAGAGGCAGTTTTTTTTTTTTTTTTGACAGGCAGAGTGGACAGTGAGAGAGAGAGACAGAGAGAAAGGTCTTCCTTTGCCATTGGTTCACCTTCCAATGGCCGCCATGGCCGGCGTGCTGCGGCCAGCCCACTGCGCTGATCTGATGGCAGGAGCCAGGTACTTATCCTGGTCTCCCATGGGGTGCAGGGCCCAAGCACTTGGGCCATCCTCCACTGCACTCCCTGGCCACAGCAGAGAGCTGGCCTGGAAGAGGGGCAACCGGAACAGAATCCGGCGCCCTGACCAGGACTAGAACCTGGTGTGCCGGCGCCGCAAGGTGGAGGATTAGCCTAGTGAGCTGCGGCGCCGGCCCTAGAGAGGCAGTTTGAACAAGGGAGTGAACCCAGTGCTTATAGTTAGATGTTCCTGGCTCTGCTAATAGCAGGTTCTCAGTTAGTTAAATTCTTTGGGCCTCCCATTACACCCTTCTTCATGGAAGAAAATGTCTGCCTCACTGGGATGACTAAGAATATAATGAAACAATGGAAATCAAAGGCTTAGCCTCAGGCAGGGTGCATTCTTTTTTTTTTTTAAGATTATTTATTTGAAAGACAGAGATAGAAGGAGAGAAAGAGATATATCTTCCATCCTCTGGATAACTCCCCAAATGGCTACGACTTCCTGGGCTTGGCCAGGCTAAAACAAGGAGTTGGGTGCTTCTTCTGGGGCTCTCACATAGGCTCAGGGTCCCAAGGGCTTGGGCCACCTTCTGCTGCTTTCCCTGGCACGTTAGAGGAAGCTGGATTGAAAATGGAGCAATTGGCTGGCGCCGCGGCTCACTATGCCAATCCTCCGCCTTGAGGCGCCAGCACACCGGGTTCTAGTCCTGGTCGGGGCACCGGATTCTGTCCCGGTTGCCCCTCTTCCAGGCCAGCTCTCTGCTGTGGCCAGGGAGTGCAGTGGAGGATGGCCCAAGTGCTTGGGCCCTGCACCCCATGGGAGACCAGGAGAAGCACCTGGCTCCTGCCATCAGATCAGCACAGTGCGCCGGCCGCAGCGCGCCGGCCGTGGCGGCCATTGGAGGGTGAACGAACAGCAAAAGGAAGACCTTTCTCTCTGTCTCTCTCTCTCACTGTCCACTCTGCCTGTCAAAAAAAAAAAAAAGAAAAAAAGAAAGGAAGAAAGAAAAAAAAAAGAAAATGGAGCAATCAGTACTCGAGCTAGTGCCTATATGGGATGCTGGCGTTGCAGGCAGAGGGTTTACCTGCTGTACCACAGTGCTGGCCCCAACTGGGTATAGTCTTTTTTTTAAAACATTTTTTTATCTATTTGAAAGTCAGAGTTATACAGAGAGAGGAGAGGCAGGGAGAGAGAGAGAGAGAGAGAAGTCTTTCATCTGATGGTTCATTCCCCAAATGGCTGCAATGGCCGGAGCTGTGCTGAACCGATGCCTGGAGCCAGGAGCTTCTTCCTGGTCTCTGACGTGGGTGCAGGGGCTCAAGCACTTGGGCCATCTTCTACTGCTTTCCCAGGCCATAGCAGAGAGCTGGATGGGAAATGGAGCAGCCGGGTCTTGAACCGGCTCCCAATATGATGCCAACGCTTCAGGCCAGGGCATTAACCCACTGTGCCACAATGCCGGCCCCAAAAGGTATATTCTTAATACAATACAGATAGATGGCATTGAACTGCCTGACTCTGAAGAATCTCATCACATGTGACATCCATTTTGGCCCCAATTACCAGCTTCAATCCTTACTCTAGCAAGGGGAGTCACCCCTATGTCATATCATTTTTAAAAAATACATTTATTTTTATTTGAAAGACAAGGAGAGGAAGGGTGAGGAGAAGAGATGTGGAGATACCTTCCATCCACTGGTTCATTCCCGAAATGAACCTAACTGCTGGGGCTCGTCAAAACCAAAGGCAGAAGCTACAAGCTCCATCCGGATATGTCAAGTGGCTTGTAGGATCCCAGGTATTTATGATATCTGCTGCGTTCCTAGGCACCTTAGCAGAGCTGGATCAGAAGCAGCAGCCAGGACTCAAACCATTGCTCCAGAATGGGATGCCAGCACTGCATGTGGCAACTTAGAGCTCTGAGTCACAGCACTGGCCCCCGCTCCCTCTGATCATGCTGTTTTTCTGTTGACTGCTCTGCCCATTCACTGTCTGTGAGATGCTCCCCTGCACACTTCATACCTCACCCTTGTACACAGAACCTACATCCTCCCTCCAACTGATTCTACTCTAAGGCAGTAGAGAGGAAGAAGGACCACATTCCAGGAAGGACATCTCACTTCACATATCACCAGGCATGGCCCCTCTCACCCTGTGCCGCAGCCCTTACACCCTACTTTCAGTCCTGGAGCCAATCTGCTGCTGCTCCTTACTGTGCTTTTCCATATAACTCACCTGACGTGCTGTGCCTCAAACTGTGATCACCTCCTCCAAG